TCGGTCACGATGGATGATCTTTTTGATGATATGTCGCATTCTGTTTGCTGGTATCTTGTTGAGGACTTTTGCATCTATGTTCATGAAAGAGATCGGCTATATTCTTTTTGGTCGGCTCCTTGTCTGGTTTTGGAATCGGGGTGACGTTAGCTTCCAGGAATGACTTTGGAAGTACTCCTTCCATTTGAGTCTCATTAGGGAGTTTGAGGAGTGTTATGCCTTGTGTCTAGATGCCCCCCAAAGCTTCATGCAGTCATAGGTAGGGGCTTCTTCAGAGGTGGCTGGATCTAGAGTGTGTGACGCCAGGATAAGGGTGTGCGCTCACTGCCTCAGTCCACTGATTGGCCTGGCACCGGCCTTATGCGGGGTAGCCTAGGCAGGATAGAAAAGGGGCAGAAAGAAGCTAAGGTCCCTTCGACGTGCTGCTTGCTGCCTTCCGCCCGCACTGCTTTGCCATGGGCCCTGTCCCCTCGGCAGGGTCCCTCCACCGTGCCGCCCCGCCTTGGAGCCGACACCTCTACAGACTGTGAGCTGAAGTAAACCTTTCCTCCTTTTACCTTTGGGTGTCGCATATTTTGTCTCAGCAATTATAAAAGTAATGAATACAGGGAGTATTGGTATTAGATATGTTCCCTAAAGGTTTTGTAGAATTCAGGAGTGAATCCATCATGACCTGGGCTTTTTTTTTTAGTTGGTAGTTTTTATTATTATTGCTTCATTTACATTGCCTGATATTGGATTACTCAGAATTTCTATATCTTAGTTGTTTTTGGTAATTCGTGTATATCTAGGAGTCTATCCATTTCTTGTGAATTCTACAATTTATTAAAGGACTTACCAGGCTTCATTTTGGTGGTGTCCATTATGATTTTGCCTTTTTCCTTTTTATTTTTTTGATTTTTTTTTTTTTTTTTTTTTTAGACGGGGTCTCACTATGTAGTTGAGACTGACCTGGAACTCACTATGTAGCCCAGGCTGGTCTCGAACTTCCAGCGATCTTCCTGCCTCAGCCTCCCGAGTGCTGGGTTTGCAGGCATGTGCCACCACGCCCGGCTGATTTTGCCTTTTTCTTAAGATTGCTTTCATTGTGTCCCGTAAGTTCTGGTATGTTGTACTGGTACTATCATTTGATTCTGGGAACTAATTTCTTCTTTGACACAATGAAAGCAGTCGTAAGAGGGAAGGAAGTTTGTAGTGTGAATGCCCACATCAGTTTAATTTTTTTAAACAGGTGTTTGCTGAAAAGAACAAGCATTGCAGTGGTTTTGATACCATACCTGAAGTCCTTTGACTGGATGATAAATTAAAAGTCAGGAGGGCCAGGGATTTAGCTCAGTGGTTCTGCCACCTGCCTCACAAGCAGAAGGACCCGAGTTCGATCCCCCGTACCAAAAAAAACCAGGCCAATCTGGACAAGGCCACACAGATCTGTAGTCCCAGCACTTAGGGGACAGAGGTAGGAGGATTGTGAGTTCAAGGCCAAAAAATATGAAAACACGGGCAATGTTTTTAATTCAGAAGGAAGAGGAAATTAAGGGGACTTCAGCTTGAGGAGAAGAACTGAAGGGGGAACAGATCTGGCAAGAAAATCAGGCCGGCCCATTAATAGAGGAAAAGAGCAAGCTTTTAAGGGGTTGCTGGGATGGGCTGGGCTTCGGTTGATCGTTATGTCGGTTCTGGTCCTGCCGTGAGATGACTTCTCCTGTGTGGGGGTGTCTGTCTGTACAGGCTCTGCTGGAACCCAAGGTGACTACAGATTTGGGGCAACGACAAGAGACTTTGTCCAGGTGTCACTAGAGGAGTTCTGGAACAGGGTATTGTAAAAGCCTTACCAATACTTAAAATGCCTTCGTGACTCTTATCTTGGTGTCTTCAATCTCAAAGGGTGATAAGGTAAATTAATTTTGGACTAATATACGTTGTGTTGCCAGTTTTTACACAAACACTCCTTAACTGATTAATTTAGCTATGGGCAGAGCTAGGCAGGGATCTGACCCAGAGTTTTCAGGTGATAAAGGAGGCAGATAGAAAATGAAAGTAAAACAGTAGCACCTATAATCACAGCACTCAGGAGGCTGAGGCAGGATGACGACAAGTTGGAGGCCAGCCTGGGCTACATAGTGAGTTCAAGAACAGCCTGAACTACATGCTGAGACCTTGTGTCAAAAAATAAATTAAAATATTTTTAATACAATAAAGGTACAGATGCCGAGATCTATCCTCGTTTTAGTTATTTGTTGGGCATCTGCAGGCACAAGTGAAGAGTCAGTGCTCTTTAGTGAAAGCAGCGTACAAGTCTCTGGCTGGCGCCTGGGAGGCAGGTGAAATCGATTTCTTGGGTAACAAGTAGAAGTTATACCCTCAAGGATACCCATGACAACCATTTGACCACTTCCACAGCTGTAGGGCGGGAAGATGCTGAAATCACAGGTGAGGGGCCCCTAATTGTGCATGCTGGTGAGAGATGTCACCCAGTAGTTAAGGCCTGGGTGGCAGTTGAGGCTTCAAGAGCCAGGCTGGCAACATTATTGAGTGCTTCTCCTCTGCCGGGTCCCTCCTGCCCAGGGCAACCCTCCTTTTCCCTTCCCTTCCTCCCTGCAGCCAAGTGCCAGAGAGCCTCCACTCGGAGCCATAAAGAAACAATTAGGTGCGGTTAATGGCCCATAATTTGTTATTTCTGTATTCTGTTCCCAAGGGTCCCCTCCTGTTATTATCCAGGAAGAAACGTAAGACTGCGCATAAAACTGTGTATTTCATAGAAACAAAGGAAGAGAGCTCTTCTTTTTCACTGTGTCTCCTGTGATTTAGGTCAGTGGGTCTTCCCAGCTAGAAATGAGGTCGCTTTCCACAGGTGAGAGAGGCTGCTGCAGGCTGGCTCTCACCATCGTGTGGTGGACCTATGCATGAAGCCGGCTGCATAAATTGTTTGGTCTGGTGCAAAATGAACATTTGATATATCAGGAATTTCAAGCTGGGAGCAGTGGCACTTGCCTATAATCTCAGCCCTTCGGAGGCTGACCCAGAAGGATGGAAGTTTGAGGTCAGTCTATGTAACCTTGTCTCAAACAGTAAATAAAAAGGGCTGGGATGTAGCTTAGTGTACTGCCACCAAAAGGAAAAAAAAAAGAAGAAAAAAAGAAAATTAGGAATTTAAGGACTGCACAAGCCAGATATGGTAGTGCACACCTAGAATCCTAGCACTCAGTCAGGAAGGAGACTGAGGCAGGAGGATCACTGTGAGTTCGAGGCCAGCTTGAGCTACACAGTGAGTTCAAGGCCAGCCTGAACTACACAGCAAGACCTTGACTCAAAAAAAACAAAAAACCAAAACTGCAACAGAGGAGCATTCAGTTGAAGAGCACAGGCAGGCCTTTCTGACCATGGGTGCTGTGCAGCTGCAGAGTTGCACTCACAGCACTGCCCTGCACACAGCGTGGTCAGAGGACTAGACTAGAAGGACAAGGCCCATGAGCAGGCTTCTCCCTGGAAGCTGAGGAGAAAACATGGTGCTAGAGCTGGGGATTTAGCTCAGTGGTTCCGCCAACTTGTAAGCCCAAGGGCCTGAGTCCGATTCCCGTTACCAGAAAAAGAAAGAGGGGAGGGGAGGAGAGGGAGAGAAGGAGCAGGGGGGAGAGAGAGAGAGAAGGGAGGGATCCTCTTGGTCCTGATCTGCTTGAGGTTGGATATGGGAGGGCTTGAGAGTCAAAAAAGAGCCAGGAAGCCAGGCACTTTGGAGCCAAAGTCTCCGAAGAAGGTAGGTGGGCTGTGCTAGTGCTGAGGGCAGGAGGACACCAGGGAAGGGAGGAAGTGACACTCCCCACTCAACTGTGGGTCACTGGCTGGCTGAGCCCATCTTCAGGCTCTGGCAGCCCCCATGGAGACTGTCTGGATGAGGCCCTAGGGAGACGGTGCCTGAGAAGACCAAGGCCCAAGGGTGTTCCTGTGGGGGTCTTTTTTGTAGAGTAGCATAGTGTGAAAGTACGCGAAACCCTCTGTAGCGGTGAACGAAGCGCACCCACCGTGAGCATCCCTAGTACCCGCCTCTCCAGTCAGGACCTGGAGCATCTCCAGCGCCCCAGAAACACCACCTAACCGCCCCAACTGAACCCCTCAAGACAGCCTTGGCCCTGGCTTCTGTCACTGCCACGTCCTCACACCCACCCCTAAAGAATACTTTCATCTTACCTGGATTTGAACTTCAGGTGGGACAGGACACCACATGATTTTATTCTTTCTGCTTAATATTTTGTGAGAATCGCAACTCATTTACTCACTTTTGCTGCTAATCTGTTGGTGAATCCTTGTGTTGACGGGTAATTGTGCTGTGTGTGGCTTGTGTGTTCTCTGCTTTAGCATGAGGCTGTTCTGCATGGCTTGTGGAGGCGAGGGCATTAGAAGAGGCCCTGAGGGTACCACAAGGAAGGGGCACTGGACGTTCCTTTTGTGTTTGCTCCTGTCCGAGGCTGGAGGGCTGCGGTTCCCCCAAAGCCAGTCAGGAGCTCTGGTAGCCGTGGCCACAACCTGCTGTGCTCTGGGCTACCTGATACCACTTTTCTGTTCTCTCTGGGCTAAGGCCAGGCAAGACAAGAGACTGCCTTTGGGACACAGCGGAAATGCCACAAACAGGCCAGCAGGTGCCTGCCCTTTCCCAGGATGGGCGTGCTAGAAGGTGTTTGTGTTTGGAAATCCCGACGTCAGTTGTCACCTGTCCATCGAGACACTGCCCGCTCACAGGAGCGGTGAGCCCGGGAGCAAAGAGGCCTTCACCACTGGCCGCTCACCACCTCTCACCTATGTTCGAAGCAAGGCTGCCCAGTGTAGCCCATCTCCTGGGGGCTTCAGTTGCCCAAGGCTGCTCCCCATTCTTGCCAGAAGACCTCTCCCAGGCACCACTCCGACCTCGTATTTAACCTTGGGGACCGCTCTGGCTGGAGATGGCCAGGTGTCCTTTGTGCCTCCAGGGAAACCTGACAGATGTCCCTCTCTCTCTGGCTTGACAGGTACAGGTGAAGAGGAGGTCCCATCGCCTCGGGGCAGGAGGCTCCCTGGCAGACAGGGCGGGATTCCTGCTGGAGAGAGAGTTAAAGTGTGGGGACTCAGTCACAGAGCAAGCTTTGGCATGATGCCACTCTCGCACGATAGGCCGGCCGGGCTTGGCTAACCATGATCCTTTTCCCCCTTGGATCCTCAACAGCTGGGTGAGTAGATTGGACAAGTATCCTCACACCCCAACAAGGGGATGCAGCCGGGCGTGTTGGTGCACGCTCGGGAGGTTGAGGCAGGAGGGTCGCCACCAGCTCGAGGCTGTTCAGGGCTACACGGTGAGTTCAAGGCCAGCCTGAACTACATAGCGAGACCCCATCTCAAAACAAACAAACAAACAAACAAAGCACAAGAGGGGGGAACGTCCAAGTTGGGAGGGGAAACATGCTGATGCGGAGGAGTGCTCAGGCCTACCGTGGAGATTGTTGCTCATGGGGTTTGCCGCTCTGGGCTGGGCTTGGTGAGCTGCAGACAGCATTTGCCTGGGTGGGCACTGAGCTGCAGCTTCACCAGTCTGAGGTCGTCTTAGTCCTGGTGTCTGCATGTTTGTTTATTTTTTGGTACCGGGGATCAAACTCGGGTCCTTGTGCTTGAGAAGCAGGCAGTGGAACCACTGAGCTACATCCCTGGCCCAGCCCCTGGTGTCTATAGCAGATTGATCTTAAGTGCAGGTTTGTCTGTGTTGGACAAGGAAATCAAAGAATTGAGGGAGGGAGCTCCTGCTAAGAAGCAAAGTGAATTTGGTGAGTGGCTCATTTCTTATAATGTTGTCTGGTTTATGCATAATTCAATAGTTCTCCGTTTGGGAAGAGTGGGTCTATGCAAATCCAACGTAATAGTACTTCTTTTAAAATTCAGCATCCTTTGTAATTGCTCCAGGCCCTCTCCCCAGTGTAGGCCTGCAGTCGTGCACATAGCCTCTTACTGCACTTTCTGCCTCATCTTCCCTTCTCCCCATTGCTCCCTCCAGCGGCCTGGGCTCAGAAGAAACCAGATGGTGCAGTGGTAGGGAGTGTGACTTCCGGAGGCATGGCCCCAGATGACAACCATGGATTTGTTGGGCGACTTGGGCAAAGGGCTTCCTGGCTCTATAAAGTTCAATCACCTTAGTTTTATTTTTGTTTTGTTTTGTTTTTTGAGACAGGGTCTCACTATGTAGTTGAGAAGGACCTGGAACTCACTATGTAGCCCAGGCTGGTCTCGAACTCACAGTGATCCTCCTGCCTCAGCCTCCTGAGTGTTGGGATTATAGGTGTGCGCCACCACGCCTGGCTCACCTTAGTTTTAGATGAGAATATAATAGTACCTACTGTCTGGGTGAAAGGAGATGAAACCGTTGATTCATGGAAAGCACTTAAATAGTGCCTCGCCCATGACACACCTTAACTATTGTCACCAGCTCGATCCCTTTGCTGTTCAGAATTCTCAAATGGCCATAGAAAAGGAACAGTATTTAACCTGACATAGGACACTTGTGTGGCCCAGACTCTTTTTTCTTTGGTGCTGAGGATTGAATCAGAGTACTTGCTAGGCAAGCATTCTACCATCGAGCGACATCCCCAAACTAGCCGAGACTATGAACAGATAATTTCCTGCCTTCCTTGTCACTAACCCGTACACTTTGCCTCAGTTTCCCACCCACCCCCTCTTTGACCTCACATGGCTGTTCACTCACTAGTGTCCCTAAAGGACCAGCTCCCGGGTCAACATGTGCAGGTCCCCTCTGTCCTCCGAGCTGTGTCCACTCAGTCCCCAAGTTCGTGCAGCCAGGGCTGGGAATGCAGATCAGGGGTGGAGCATCTGCTTTAGATGAGGCCCTGGTTCCAATCTCTTGCATTTTAAATCTTAGGTCTTCATCTGAGTTCTTATAGCCAATAGGTCGTGAAGCGACACTGAAGTCACTGGCCATGGAATGTATTCTCTGTACAGCTCTCCAGGAAACATCACCCCCTGCTCAACACTCTCCGCCCACCATTGCCCACTCTGCCATCCATCACGCCTTGTGAGACGGTGGAAACTTCTGGCGATGAGAACACAGCCAAACAGATGCCAAGGTGCAAGTTACATTTTTGCACAACAGGCAGCATTTCATAAAGTCGAGGAAAGTAAAACTGCTGAAAAGAGCACAGACACTGACAAATGAATATCTGAAAGAATCAATTAGGCCCATCGACAAATGAAGAGGACACGTGTATAACCACTAGGTGCTTCAGAGGGGGATGATTTGAGTATCAAAGATGAAATAGTAAGAGAACTGAGGAAGCCCTTGCCTCACTTACAGGGACTGATCACACCCTCAGACATGAAATGAGCTTCTATTGTGCAGTCATATAATTTGGGGAGGGAAACACACTTGCATATTCTAAATATCAGCCCAGAGTTGCAGTTACACTTGGTTGAAAGATACCCGTTTTAACTGAACACTGGTGAGCCAGTACACAATGGCACACACCTGTAATCCCAGCTACAGTACTTTGGTGGCTGCAGCAAAACAGCAAGTTCAAGTCCAGCCTGGGCAACTTGTGAGACCCTGTCTCGAAATAAAATTTTAAAAAGGGCTGAGGATATGTCTCACTGGTAGGGCACTTGCGTAGCATGCACAAGGCCCTGGGTTCAATCCCCAGTGCTGTAAAAACAAACAAACAAAAAAACACTGGGAAGATGTTGGTCAAAGGGTATAAAACTTTGATTGAATAGGAGGAATAAGTTCAGATCTAGTGTATAAAATGCTGACTACAGTAAACGGTTTTGTTTGTTGTTTTTGAGACAGGGTCTCACCGTGTAGTTGAGACTGACCTGGAACTCACTATGTAGCCCAGGCTGGTCTCAAACTCAACAGCGATCCTCCTGTCTCAGCCTCCCAAGTGCTGGGATTACAGGCATGTGCTACTATAACCAGCAATTACGTATTCTTAAAAATCAGAGGTTTTAAGTTTTCTCACCATCAAAAAGATGAGGCAACACATGTTAACTAGCTCAACTGTATGTGTGTGTGTGTGTGTGTGTATATTTCAAAATATGTACGATATATACAATTTTTTTCAGTTAAAATTTAGAAGAGATACTAGCTTCCACTTTTCAAGATAAAATTCTGATTACACCTTTTTCTCTTGTATATGAAATGCTGGTCTCAAGTAATTTTACTTTAAGAGGGGTTTTCAAGTCCTATTCATTTTGGGTAATCTTTACAAATATTTATCTACCTGCTTTATCTGCCCTAATAGGGCACATAGTTTGGGGCAAGTAGTGCCTCATACTGACAGCTGTACCCTGGCATCTCATGGAATGGCAGGGATGGGAATGCATCTGAGTCACCGGTGAAGTCCAGACAGCGTTTCAGTCCGGTTTCTTGTTAAATGAGTTACAAAGCACATCCAGAGCTGCTAGAAGCAAAGGCCCTGCAGTTGAGGCCTTGGCCAGTGTCCTAGCAATCGGGTGCCAGGGTGTTGAGGTAAAACAGGGCCAAGGAGCCCCAGCAGCCAGCCTGGCTCTTGCTCTTGGGCCGATGCCGGGGGTCGGGGGAGGTCTCCGAGTGCCTGCAGGACGTGGGAATGCCAAGTGCCGAGAGGCCCTGCTTCAGCCTCCTGCCTTCCCCTAGGGGCAGAGCAATGGCTTTGGCTATTCTGGTTCTTTCACACTAAAGTATGGGTCAGAACTTCCTGTGGGAGAACTCCGCATTCCGGATCCCAACAAAGGCCACGGAAGTGTCGGGACCGATTCAGCTGCACCGTGGAAATAGGAGAGAACAACTTCCTACTTCAGGTTGGGGAAAGAGGCAAGTGGGCAGCAACGCCCAGCCTTGCTCCAGGCACTGCCCACATCCCGCAGGCAGAGAACAGCAGCGCCTCTGTGTCCACGAAAACGAGCCAAGTCGGGGTCACGGAGCTGTGCGGAGCTGTGCTCGGCAGAGGACAAGCGACTGCACATCCTCGGGAGGCTGAGACGGCTTTGGAGCAGGGGCTGGAGTGCGCGGGCGGCAGGAGGACGAGGAGGAGAGGAGGAAGAGGGCCGCTCTTTCCAGAAGCTCCGCCGCGAGAGTGAGGACAGGGACACTCGTTGGACTTGTCGCAACTTGTTTTTCAGGTCTGAAAATTGGATCGCTCTAGGGCCAGGGAAGGAGCCCGACCAGGCTGAGAGACTAAAGGCACGAGAGAGAGGAGACAAAGCCCCATGCCATGTGGTGGAGACCGTTTTTGTTACTTACGTTAGAGCTTTGGATGGAAGGAAAAATTTGTGCCATGGTTTAACTAGCGGGCACCAAAAACAAGCAAAGCTTTGATGCATAGTATTTATAAAACATTGGAAAACGACCCTCCAGGTTCAGTTCCCTCCAGGAAACAGGAATTTTACTTGTAATTATATACACTTCCGTGTTAAATTTCTATTAATAACGGTGTCACTGTTTTCCAGTGCTGGGGATGGAACTCGGGGCTTCCCACATGCTAGGCAAGGGCTCTTCCACGGAGCACACTTACCCCAAGCTCAGCGTAATGATCTTAAAATGCAGCATTACTGGAAAAGCCTCCATAGAACCTACTGTACAGTGAGAACAGCCTCCAAAAGGCCTGCGTGAACGGAGATGTTCACGTTCTGGGCAGCTGCAAGTCACTTAGTCCCTAAGGCCTCTTCTTGAGCACTTCCCGAGGGACAAGGGGGGCCAGGCAAGCAGTTCCTGCGGCGCCGCCGTTCTCCAAGTCCGGGAACTGGGGATGGCTCTTCCCCATGCTGGCTAACTCAGGACGGGCTGCGAAAGGCCCCATTTCCTTTCAGATGAGGACTTCGTGGAGCCACTCACCTGCAGGACGGCCTCCCTGGCTACCCACATTTGGCCCGCTCACTGGAATAGTGATTTATACCTGGGTGCCAGGGTCCGCAGCATGAGGGGATTACACTGGAACCTGTGGCTATTTAGGGGAAGAGACAGGAGGAAAAACGGCTGTACTGGTGAGTTCTTGTCCCACCCAAACCCACGCAGCTCCAAGAGGCTGGCACAGCAGGGAGAGGGGGAAAGGCCCAGAACGGGCTCATTTCACCCCTCTCCTCCGCACTCCCTGGGTTCACCTGAGCAGGGCCAACACAGGCTGCCTCCAGGGGTGGCATCAAGGTATCCTTTTGGTGGAGAGGCACTAGCTCAGCTCCTCTGGGGACACTGATCCAAGAGCAAGGGGGCTGAGGGTTCAAGGCCACCCTCCTCTCAGTTTGGGAAGGTGGTTTTTCAGAACGGGATTCAACCCAGGACCTTCACACTTAGCCATGTGCTCAGCCCTTATTCTTTTGAGGTGGAGTCTCAGCAAATTGCTAAATTGCCCAGGTTGGGCTTGAATTTGCAGTCTCCCTCCCAGAGGCTGGGATTACAGGCTTGTACCACCCTAGCCAGCCCCTCTCCCCTCAATCAACTGAGACAAAGATCCTTCTCCAGGGCTCGGTGGCAACTATTCAATTGGCCTCCATGGCAATCAGTTCTCGTCTCAGCGACGCAGGCTGACACACTGACATCTTGCCTTTATCCTCAGACCCAGCCAGGACTCTAAGGCACCAGCTAGCTGGCTTATTATGAAGTCAGACGACAGACGACAGAGAACAGAATCATACCACCCCCAAGGTGTCAGGTCCCAAGGGCTGACAGAGCTGGGCCAGTACAGAACGTATGCCAGCTGGTACCACCGCCTTCTGGGGAACTCGAAGGAACCACTAGTTCTAAGGATTGGCCCTCCAGCTGGCACAGTACCAGGGGACCCCTTCCCACGAACTCACGTCTGCTTTAACCTTAATGACAGGCTGTGGGCTCCCGTGGCACTGAGATGGCAGGGAGAGCCATCTGGACACAATTCCTTACTTCTCCTCCAGTGTTGGGCCGAGGGACTCTTGCAGGGATGCCGGCTAGAGGGCAGCTGGGCTTCTACCACAGGAATCTACGCTCCTGGACACTGACTCCCAGCCTGGGGTCTCCAGTCAGGAATCCGACTCAGTGTTCAGCCAAGTCAGGCCATACCAGTCTGAGGCAGGACTCAGGAGTTCTGTCCCAAAAGTAGTTTCTCTGTACCCTTCCCCCGCCTTTGTATCATTTTCAAGCTTCAGTGCAGACTTTCATCTGCTAAAATTATTTTAATAAAATACATATATAAACTTTGTCTTTGGGTAGTGAAACCTTTGTAATTTAATGCAAACAACAATCAGAATGCCGCCAAAGCTAGGCTGGGGCTGCAGCTCAGACTTATTTGCCCAGCATACACGAGGCCCTGGGTTCGACCCCAGCACTGCCAAATGAAATTTTCCACAGTGCTTCAAAGTAAAAAGAATTTACCCTTTTGAGACAAGCAGCCAGTCCTCCACCCCAATGATTTAGATGTTATGGTTTGAGTTTAGAGGACTCGTGTCCTAGCATCATTTGTTTTTATGTATTTAGAAGGGTAATACATGGTCACTCTTCTTAATATGCAGGGGACTAGAATGTCTGGGGCAGCCAGGCACACGTGCCACCTCATCCCACGGGACAGGACGGGAGCACTTAGGAAATGCCTGCTCGAAACCCCTCCGTATGCTAGTCCTCTGCTGTAGAGGACGAAATGGCTGAGTTCCTCACACAACCACAGGCGGGGCAGCAGGTACTGCAGGGCTGAGACTAGAATCTGAGTCTTGTTTTTTTCCACCAAACCAGTGGTTTTCAAACTCACTTTTGTGGCAGCGCTTGTGCATCTCTGCATTTGTTCCAAACGCGATATTAACCATGAAAAGCTATCTTTTACATGTACCTCTAAGAGGTTTCACACACATTAGCTGAGGTTGCCGAGGCCTGACAGTAAGGGCTGCATCACAATGCATGCGACCTTCACATGGCTCACAGGGGAGGGGGCCTAGGCGGTGCTCAAGAAGCCCAGGGACAACTCAATGCTTGTGGTTCTCATCCGAGGATTCCAGTGCTTGTAACTTCTAGTGTTTACTTGAGACACAGTGGACAAGAACTGAAAGGTGTTGAGTACCCTGTTAATTTTCTTAAGCATCTACTTCAGATGTCAGTAACCAGGGTCTCTTCATGATTTGTGAACTTGGCTAACTCAAAAGGAACCAAGGTAAAGCAGCTATTTACATAAAGCTGTGTTTTAGAAGAAGATGAAGGGGAGGGAGTCAGGACACTTTTGACTCAGATTTTACTTTTTGTACCAGGGATCAAACTCGGGTCCCTGCGCCTGCAAAGCAGGTGTCAGAACCACTGAGCTAAATCCCGGGCCCTCAAATTTTACTATTAACTCACTGGGTAATGAGGATGGATCTTGCTCCTCCCTTAACTTGTTTCCTCAATGAAAAAGGAAAAAGCTGTATTAATGGGGACCAGGGATATAGCTCAGTGGTTCTGCTGCCCGCCCTGCAAGCACAAGGTCCCAAGTTTGATCCCTGGTACAAA